TATNTATATATGTGTGTGTGTGTGTGTGTGTATGTGTGTGTGTGTATGTGTATGTGTGTGTGTACACGTGTGTGTGTGTATATGTGTGTGGTTACGTATGTATACATTGATAACTATCTACCTGTGCCAATAAAGTGCTCCCTTACTAGAGCGTATTCTTCCTGGCCAGCTGTATCAAGGATATTGACAGCAACTGGTAGATCGTCAACCACGAACTGCTTCCTGTACGTGTCCTCAATAGTGGGATCGTATTCCTCTACAAAGGTACTCTGAGTGAACTGCACAGTCAAGGCTGACTTTCCAACACCTCCAGAGCCTACTATCAGTAACTTCATTTCCTGAAGCTTTTGCACGGTGTCTGCCATTTTATTTTATTTTGCGATTCTTGCGACTCAATCGATTCAATGTGTTGCACTCGGTTTTTTCTATTATGTTATCTAGATATGTATAGCTTTGTCGTTAACTAGTTCTAGTCACTATTTAATAGACCACTTTATATCTTTAACAGATTTATATTTCTGACCTTTACCGACGACCTTATAGTCTATGCACACACGGGGCGTTTAGCACCTGTCGCTGAATAGAGAGGGGTTGAACTTTGCGCGAAGAATTGGTGCGGTTTGTTTTATTATTGCTAAATATTTGATCTCAGATAAGATACTGAAAACAGAAAATATTTATTTCAAGAAATAGAAGTCCACTGATTTATTTATTACAGGATGATTATATTTCAGTATGTACTGTATTTACATTAACTAGAGAACATTGTGAACACCATTTCCCCCTTGTTAACTTATCATTTATTCTCAATTTGAAATAGGGTCTAAATAGCGGTTTCCGAAGGGTTTCCGACGATGTTCGTTTTGAAAAGCGTTGAGGCAGTAGGTTTTCAAGAAATGTTCCTAAAAATTCGTTGAAAACGCCTGTCATCAATATTTGTCTCGGCCGAATTTGTACCAGTATTTATTTGCGTTTGAACATTGGAATAAAAACCATCAGAATGTAGTCAAAATCGATCGGCAGAAAACACGCAGATACTCTAGTAATAAACAGATACATGAAGGTAGTGTGTAGATGTCAGATTTAGATACATAGCGTGTCCGTAGCGCACAGGAAGACACCAACTATGAAGTTGTCGATAAGTTGTCGATAAGGGCAAGAACGCAACTGACAGAAAAACAGCGACGATCAGCGACGTCAAAAGCCAAGATCGCGAGGAGACTATTAGAAAAGCCGAGCGGAAGAGTAACCTAGTGCGAGATGCAACACAATCCGAATATAAACTGGACAACTAACTATACAAAGTAGGACTTACTAGAGGTGTTGTTTTGAAGATCAAAACTGTTGTATATATATACACACACTTCCATTCAAATACACACACACTTGTGTGTGTACACACACACACACAAACTATATATATATCACTATATATATATATATATATATATATATATATATATATATATATATATATATATATATATATATATATATATATATATATATATACTATATATATATATATATATT